TATATATATGTCGATGCCGAATAAGTAAAATTTGCTACTTTGGCTTAATAACAATGCTGTTCTTGACCGAAATTAGACAAGCGAAAATCTGTGTATGACAATATTCTCGTAAAAAACATTCTGACCCTAACAAAAAAAAGAAACATATTTCATTGTGTTTATATTAACACTTGCTGTAAATTATCTAATATTATTTAGTGGATAGGCTTAATTAAATTATGCATGTTGATATAAGGGAGAACGCGTCTCAGAAAAGAGTTGCTTCTACATTCTAAGTAAATACGTTATTATTAACCAGGCTTCGTGAATTTAGGTCTAGGTGCTAGAGTTGTAGCACACTTTGTCTATGATTGTATCTGTAAATTATATTGTGTGTAACCTAGACAATTGTGCAACATTGGGAAGGTTAATTGTGGAAACGTGTTGAACGCTGTACAAGTGTTTTAATATTATAACTTGTCAGCTTTTTTAAACCATTATATCATAAATTATATAATATATATATATATATATATATATATAATGTGTAATTTCTCACACCTCCTTAATGTTATACCTGTTGTATTATCTGTATATATATATTGTGTTATGAAAACTCCGGTTATTTTCTTTTTCTGTCTCATAAAACCGCTTAGATATTAATCAGTCGGATATCTTGCTACTCCTACTTACACTTTGGTCACACTTCACAGACCGCACATGCTTATATATATATTACATATACATCTAGGTTTTTCTACTTTTTCTAAATAGCTCTGTTTCTTTTTTATTTCTTTATTGTCCATGGGGAAGTGGAAAAGAATCTATTCCTCCGTAAAGCCATGCGTGTCGTATGAGGCGACAAAATGCCGGGAGCAATGGGCTAGTACACCCTTCCTCCTGTAACATTTACTTAAAAAAGAGAAGAAGAATAACTTTATAAAACTGTGGATGCTTAAATGTGCGGTGGGATGTAGTGCGGATGACAAGGAAACGATGATTGCTAATGTTATGAATGAATAGAGTTGGATGTCCTAGCTCTAAGCGAAAACAAAGCTGAAGGGGGTAGGAGAGTTTCAGTGGGGGGAAATAAATGGGGATTAAATCTGGAAGTATCTGAGGAGAGTTAGAGCAATGTGAAGGCGGTAGCAGTAAGATAATGTTAAATGATCAGTTATGGAAGGGGGAAAGAGAATATGAATGTGTAAATTCAAGGGAATTATGTGGATTAAAGTAAAGGTTGGATGCGAGAAGTTGGGTATCAATATGCGTGTATGGCACATGGAGATGAGAGGAATGCAGAGGAGGGGAGGAGAGTTTTTGGGAGATGTCTTCAGCTGAATGTATAGGAGCCTTTGAACCAAGTGAGAGAGTAATGTCGGTAGGGGACCTGCAATGCTAAGAGTAGGAGAGAAACTGTTTCTTAGAGAGGGGTGTGGGGTAGGTAAGTTTGGCGGGGTGCCAGGTGGTAAATGATAATGGGAGCCTTTGATTGAACTTTGTATAGAAGGGGTTTAGTGCTATAGGTAATACATATTTTAAGAAAAAGAGGATAAATAAGTATACACGATTATCTATGATGTGTAGGCGAAATGACAGTAGGTTGTTGGTTATGTTTGGTAGATAAAAGAATGTTGAGTAGACTTCTGGATGTACATGTTTATAGAGGGGCAAAGATATATCAGATCACTTCCTAGTTTACTGCTAGCTAATGAGAGTTAAGGTAGATGGGTACAAGGCGAATAGAGAAAGCATCAGGGAGAGAGGAGGTGAAGGTTTATAAACTAAATAGAGGAGCAGTTTTTAGGGTTAAGCATAAAACAGCTATTGAGGATAGATGGGCTAATGAGAGCAGAATAGGCATTGGGGTCGAAGAGGTATGGGGTAGGTTTTTAAAAATGTAGTGTTAGAGTGATTCAGCAGAAGTTTGTGGTTACAGGAAAGTGGGGGCAGGAGGAAGAGGACGCGATTGGTGGAATTGATTGATTGTTACAAGAGAGTAGTAAGGGAGGGAGAAAAAGTTAGCATATGAGAAGTTTTTACAAAGTAGAAGTGATGCATAAGAGAGGAGAGTTATGGAGTACAGAGTAGTGGTTTTAACGAGAGTGGTGAAGCAAGGTAAAAATGAGAAGCAAATGAGAGAGTGGTGAGATGTTATCAACCAAATTTTTGTTGAAAATAAGAAAAAGTTTTGGAGTGAGATTGACAATGTTAAGAAAGCCTAGAGAAACAATGGATTTGATCAGTTAAACAATAGGAGATGAGAGTTATTAAATGGATGTAGAGGTATTGGGGAAGATGGAGGGAATATTTTTGAGGTGAATTGTTAAATGTTGATGAAGATTAGAGGAAGCTGTGATTTCGTGTTATAGGGCAAGGAGGAATAACATCTTCGTAGGTGTGAGTGCAGGAAGAGCAGTTATGAGTGTGGGGAAGTTCGTGACGGCAGTAGGTAAAATGACAAGGGGGGGGTAGGTAAAGGCAGCCGGATTGATGGGGACTAAAGATAGAAATTGTTAAAGCAGGTGGGTTATAGTTTGGAGTGGTTGGGTTCAAATTATTTAATAAATGTATGAAGAGGGTTAAGGACCTAGTGATTTGGCCGCGAGGAGAGATGATAGTTCCTTTGTTAATAAAGCAAAGGGGATAAAAGAGAGAGCCAAAAATTATAGGGGGTTAAGTTTGTTGAGTGTACATGTAAAGTGTATGGTAGAGTTTAATTGGAAAGAATTAGAGTAAGACGGAGAATAGGATAGCATGATGAACAAGGAGGCTTTAGAAAGGTATAGAGGAGTGGTGGGAACACGGTGTTTACAGTGAACTTATAAGTGAACAGTATTTAGATAAGGCTCTAAAGAGGTCTTTGTGGAATTTAAGGATTTGGAAAGGCGTATGACAGGGTGGATAGGGGGGGCAATGTTGGCAATTGTTGCAAGTGTATGGTGTAGGAGGGTAGGTTACTGAAAGCAGTGAAGAGTTTTTACGAGGATTAGCTGAGCTCAAAGTTAGAGTATGTACGGAAAGAGGAAATTTTTTCCCAGTAAAAGTAGGCCTTAGCATGGATGTGTGGTCACCGTGGTGTTTAATATATTATGATGGGGTTGTAAGAGAAGTAAATGCCGAGGGTCTTGGCAAAGAGGGTGGAGTTAAAGATAAAGAATCACACACAAAGTGGGATAGTCACTGTGCTTCTTGCTGATGTCACCTTTGGCTTTTGGGAGATTCTGAAGAGAAGTGCAGAGATGTGGATGCATTTGGTGGGAGTGCAAAAGAAGAAAATTAAAGGTGGAATACAGGAAAGAGTAAGGTTTGAGGGATAACGTAAAAGATTAGGTGATGAAGATTGAATATCAGGATTGGAGGGAAGATGAAGGCATGGAGGAGGTGAAACGTATTCAGATATTTGGGAGTTGGGAGTGTCAGCGGAGGGGGTTATGAAAGTTGGGTGGATCATAGAATTTGATGAGGGAAAAAAAAGTGAGGGGGTGCATTAGGAGTCTGTGGGACAAAGAACTTTGCCCTTTGGGGGCAAAGAGGGGAATGTTGAGGTTTAGTTTTCCAACGCTCTTAAAGGGGTGTGAAGCGGGGGTGTGAATTTTGCAGCGAGGGAAGGTGGAGGCATGGAGTTCATGTTGAGGGCAATGTGTGGGGGAAAATAAATGCGAGAATTCGTAGTTTGGAAGATAGGAGGAGGAGCGGGATTACCAAAATGTTGTCCAAGGGTGAGGGGGGGTTTTTTGAGGGGGTTGGGGACATGTAGAGAGATGGAGCGAAAACAAAAATGACTTAAAGAGTGTATCAGTTGTAGTGGAGGAAGGGGGGTAGGGGTCGGCCTGGGAAAGGGGTTTGGGGGGAGGGAGTAAAAGGAGGTTTTGTGTGCGAGGGCTTGGATTTCCAGCGGCATGCGTGAGCGTTTTTGATAGGAGTAAATGGAGACAAATGGTTTTTTTTACTTGGGCGTGCTGTTGGGTGTGAGCAAAATAAATTTAGAAGGGGTTCAGGGAAACCGGGAGGCCGGGCTTGAGTCCTGGAATGGGAAAATACAGTGCCTGCACTTGAAGGAGGGGTGTTAATGTTGCAGTTTAAAAAAATGTATGTAAAAAACCCTTCTGGCAAGACCCGTGATGGATGAATGTGGTGAAAGTTTTTCTTTTTCGGGCCACCCTGCCTTGGGGGAATCGGCCCGTGTGATAATAATAATAAAAATATTATATATATTTAATATATAATTTTTATTTATTTATATATATATATTATTTTTTATTTATAATTATGGGCCCTGGCGGGTTTGATACTTTATGTGATGAATTTATGTGATTATCTGGCGTGGATTAGACAAGTGTTTCTTAAGGTATTGGAGGGGATTCGTTAGTTATGTTCTAAATCATGATTATTTTTTGTCCCGACTGTAATTTATTTTGGGAAAAAAGTCTGTATTGTAGTCAATATTGCACTTTTTGTTTTGCCCAAATTCTTAAAATAGTGAATAGAAGTAAGACTTTTTGGGGGTTAACCTCC